TCTATGAAAAGTATGAATGGTTAACCGGCTGCAAAACTTTGAAGAAATTGTTTTGCTGGCCTTGCCTACTTTTTAATATAGTCGAAAAAAAACATTGAAACTCAGTCGGTATTACAGACTTAAATAATTTTCACAAAAGTGTAAAACGACATGTAAAAAACAAATCTCATATAAGTGCTACAATTAAAGAAAAAACATTCGGGACGTATCGCATTGAACATAGTTTGGACAATCATTTAAAAATAAGCAACAAAATTCACAATAAAAGGGTAAAACAAATAGGGACGTCTTACAACGATTAATAGATGTAACTTGTTTCCTGGGAGAGCATGAACTAATTTTAAGGGGTCACAATGAAGCAAGTGGATCCGCCAATCAAGGAAATTACATGGACCTTCTAAGTTTTTTTAGCAAAATACGATGATACCTTAAAAAATCATTTTATTGATTCGACGACTTTCCGAGGTACCTCAAACAGAATACAAAATGATTTAATTAAATGCACTGCCGACGTTGTGATGGATCACATTAAAAGTGAAATTAAAAAAGCACCTTTCGTATCAATTGCACTTGATGAAACTGCAGATGTAGCAAACTTAAGTCAATTATCCATTGTTGTGCGATATGTATTGGACGGCATTCCTCAAGAGTGATTCTTAGGATTTTTGGACGTCACTAGCGAACGAACTGCAGATGCATTGTTAAAAATTGTTTGTGACATTATTTCAAATTTAGAATGTGGTTCTAACCTTGTTGACCAGAGCTACGATGGTGCTGCCGTAATGGCTGGCCATTTAGGAGCTAAAATGAAAGAGAACTTTAAACATGCAATTTTCGTTCACTGTATAGCACATAGACTTAATTTGGATTTATCGCGAAGCATGGATGATATTAAAGATTGCAAAGTTTTATTTTCGACGCTTAGTGGTTTAGTTTCCTTCTTTTCAAAGTCATCGAAAAGAACTCGCGCTTTGGACTTTCACGGTCAAAGAAGGTTTCCAAAAGTTGCTCCGACGCGATGGAACTACAATGGACGTTTAGTGCAAACAGTGTTTCAATACCGTGATTATTTGATAAACTTTTTTCAAGACGTTTGGGATAATAAAAAAAAATGGGATGCTGAAACTGTTACTGCTGCTAAAGGGTATTTGCTTTGGCTCAAACAAAACTTTGATTTCAATTTTTTACTCAACATTTTTGCAAAGATTTTCCCTTTTACGGACATTTTATTCGACATTTTGCAGACAAAGTCAAATGATATTGGCTTTTGCATTAAACAAATTGATTTTAAAAATAAAATGAATAAAAAAACGACATCAGTTTGAACACTTTTGGAATAAGACTCAAAACATTGGCTTAGAACCTGAAAGAAAGAGAATTAGAATTGATAATGTCGGCGACAGAGAGACCTCCTATCGTCGATTATACGCCGAAATTTTTGATAATATTCTACAACAAATGAACTTTCGATTTCAAAACTTTAACGAATTAAAATTTGTTGAATTGTTCAATTTTAATATTAGTAACTACGATTCATCAAAATTTCCATCGGAAGCTTCTAATTCACTAAAAATAAATTATGGAAATTTTTTCGATATTACAGCATTAAAGTCCCAGTTAAGTGTTGTTTATGAAACAACCGAAATTAGTGATAAAAAGACGCCCATCAATATGTTAAATTTTCTTATAACAACTGGTTTAAATAAGTCCCTTTGTAAAGTCGTCAAGTTGTGTGCATTAGTACTAACCATCCCAACAACAAGTGCGTCAGTTGAGCGAAGTTTTTCAGCTTTAAAGCGCATTAAAAGTTTTATACGAAATTCAACAAGTGAAGGCAAACTCTCTTATTTAGCCCTAATATCCATTGAAAAACAGCTTGTTAAACAGTTATCAGAAAATCCAAAATTTTACGACGATGTTATAGACAAATTTGCAGCCATTGAGAATAGGCGAATAGATCTTAAGTATAAATAAATGTCAACGGCTGTGTCAACTGTACGAAAAATGTTGGAGAAAATAAAAAAAAAACTTCAGTTAAATGTTTTTTTTTTACGTTAAAATAAACCAAGGAAACTTTTCAATGGTAAGTTTTTTTATAGCTTTTAGTACTAAACTAGGTAATAAAGTAATAGTAACACTTCAAAAATCTCAATCTCGAATATCCTTAGTACTGAGGAAAAAAAGCAAGATTTTGACAAAATGGTGAATTCGCCGCGAAAAAATTTCGTCTGCGGCGCTATGCTTACTGGCCTGCTATATTTTTATACAATCGCTTTCCCTTCCAAAAATGTCACAGCACGCCACTGGTCACGATTGAAAGTTATGAACGAGAACCCCAAATCACTTGGTAGAAGTTGCCTGAGATTGATGTACCTCTGTAGAGACGAAGGAAGAAATACTTGATTTTGCTTTTAACTTACCGTATATTACCTACAGATAAGTATCATTGATTTAATCAATAAATTATTTAAATTTGAATTATGTGCAGACTTATGTGAATTAGAATTTGATAACTACCTTATCTAAAGCATGATTTAAGTATAATTTGTTACTGGTTAGTGATTTTCTATATTTTTATCACTAATCTAGAGTTAAGTGTATAAGTTTAAAATATAGTGGTACTCAACTTCTGTTTCAAAGTTATTTGAGTTATTTAAAAACCTAACCCACGCCCTATAAATTGAGCTAAAACAACCAGCAATTCAGGTTACAAATTTTAAAATTAAGATCAATCCTTTTAGTGTGCAGATTTGCGAAAACATTTATAACATTTTTTTCAAATGAAGGGGAAGAACGCCATTACGATCTTAACATTCGACGAATTAGATGCGTTTGAGAGACTGCATTACTCACCAGCGAAAATAGCCGACTGAAAACCTAAAACGCGAAATCAACACGGAAAAGGTCGCCGACCTCAGCTAGCCCCACCAGGCTATCAAGATGTAATAAGAGACATCGCATCTCGCATCATAGCCATATCCTGTCAAAATATTTCCATTTGTAGCATATAGCAAAGGCTTTTCGCAGTTCTCCTACTTCATACACAGAAATTGACAGTTTTGCGGTGGAGCAAAGCGAACACGGAAAAAAATGTGACTAGAAAATTTTACTACAATGTTGTAGTAGTAGACTTGTAGAAAAATACTCAACAATTTGTAGAAAATTTTACTACAATTTATAGGTAAAAACTATTCATTATTGTAGCAATTGAATTGTCGAATAAAATGCTGCAACAATAGGAAAGAATTCCACAATGTTTAGTATATTTTACTATTGTTTGTAGAAGTAGAAAATTATTACAATTATCGTAATTACTACTACTAACTTCTGAAAAAATTTGTACAAATATTAATAATTATCTCTACAAAAAATAGTAATAATTTACATCCCTTTTTATGAAAAATATTCAATTTTGTTCAAAAATATTCTATAATATTGTAGAAATTCTAAGTCATGTGAACAAAAGAGAATTCTGCTATTGGCCAACGTTTTCTGACGTCGATCATAAATGGCCAGACAGCAGTAGCCGTTCGCCATGTTCACATAACAAAGCATGGACATATACGAGTACCTATAACACATTATTATATTATAAGCACCGATGCGTTTGAGAAAATTTTAATAATAAATTCTATTACTGGTAAGTACATTTATTATTGTTTCTGAATAATTTACCTTTAGATAACTAATTTAAATAACCTTAGTAAATTATTTAAAAAAAAAATAGTTGTGCCTAACGATCGAATGTTGTGCCAAATTCAATGAGGTTTTTTTGTCTTAATTGTGACATACCTACTTTCTCATTTTTGTTAGTTATCTGACTTATTCATTTAATATCCAAATCATTGTAAAGGTGATAAATATCCCCGTTTTAAGGGTATGAACAGTTCAATTGTTATTAATTTTTATTTCATATTTTTCAGGTGCAGAAAAGCCAACTGAGACTGAGGGTGCTATTATTACTGTTATTTATTACATAATGTAATTAAGACTTTGTATCTTTTATATTAAAACAATAAATTGAATATTTTATTAAGGAACATTTTTTTTAGGGTTATAATTATAATAATTATGGAATACTACTACAAGTTTTATTAAAAATTACTACAATTTGTATGAATTTTTACTATTTATTGTGTAAAATTTTCGTATTTATTTTCATAAAACGCAATACATTTTTAATATAAATTCATAAAATAAATAGCAAAAATTATAACAATTTGTAGAACAATTCTTATGATGCATTTGGATATTTTTACTAAATATTGTAGATAATAACTCTACAATACATTCTCTACAAATATTTGGAAATTTTTATTACAAATTGTCCCTGTCCCTATTTGTACTATTTATTGTAGAGAAAAAATCTACAATTGTAGAAATTTGTTCTACAATTTTTTTTCCGTGAAGTAGACGCGATACATTGCCGTACAAGATTATTTTATACTCGTAGATGGTAATAACAATTTCGGGTAAATATTTTCATAAATTGTGAATAGCTGTTGAAATTTTGTAGAATTATGATTTGGGATATTAAAATACTTGTGTCCATAAATACATATGATTGTCCGGTTCAGTCGGTAATAATTTAAAATTACTTATTCCATCGTTGACGTTTACTCCCTATCTACTTACCTACCTACCAAAAGCCTTTTCAACGTCTGCCCCTGCTATAGTAGCGTATTCTATAAAGCTCGACAAATACACATATAAATAATTGAAATTAAATTTGAATAAATTCCCAGAGAGTTTCAATTTATTATAAGAGATCTTACTGATTTTATTTCAAATATTAGGTGACAATATTTTGAAGGAATGCATTACCCGCATCAATGGACGCCTTCGCCACAGGATAATTTGGTTTTCGTCTAAATTTTAGGATTTTAATTAGTTTTGAGAATGTATTATTAAGGCTTTCCAATAAAATGGAAATTTTGGTTCGATCTATATGCAAAAGAAAAAAATCTGTTATGCAAGTAATACAAAATCAATGAGCTTACTGTGTCTTTGCTGTGTTATTTGCTAACGATGACCTATTTTCAAGATTTTCTTGCTAGCTTGATTAAAGTATTGAAAATCCTGGTTGGGCTGGAATAAACATGTCGTTAGTCTGGAACAAAGATAATAATGTTGATTTAATCTTTTAAAACAAACAAATGTAAAGCCACTCAGTGAACTCATGACGGTAAGTAAAAAGAGAAATATATATACAGAGTGAAAACGGTAAATTAGTTTTTTAAGAAGAATATTTCAATTCTGAAAGCAGTTTATAAAATCGTTGACATTAATTAACTTCTCAATAGTCAAGACTGCTTTGCTGCTTTAATATTTTCAAGACTTTCATAAACCAGGTAGAACTCGAGGAGGTTGTAAATTTAAAAATTCTAAGATAATTTAATGTTTAATTTTGACGCTGTCTATAATATAAATTGTTTGATTTTACTCGTATAGCTTCATTCAATTTCTTTTATTAAAAAATATTTTTAAAGATAACATCTCTTAAGGATGTTTTCGCGGTTCACAATTTTAGCATTGTCATATATAAATAAAAATATATTTGCAAATTGTACAGTTTTAATCAGCATCCCTTTGTATAACCATAATAGAGGAATATTAATTAAAGCTGCAGCTAACAAATATACAAACATTAGGATGTTTTACTTCAATAAAATAAAATAAAAAAATGTGATAGCATAAGACATAAAATTTTATTTTCTAATGACCAATATAAACATAATTTTTATATTATTTGTTATTTTGCCATAATATATTTTCTATTAATACCTACCAACTAGATTATTTTATGTTAGATCAGTTTAGGTCTAATATAATAGTTATGTTAAAACAAAATATAATAAATGAAATTTCTAGTTTTTATTATTTCATAAAATAGTATCTTCCACTTGCACATTTTTTATTCATTGAAACTTATGAGTAGAATTCTCGCTGGAATTCTTGGTGGAATTACGAAAAATTAGTTCTTAATCATCCGTTTCATAACAATTATAAATATTATTTACATTTAAAAAAAAATGTAGGTTTGGGTTGCATTAAAATAAGTCCATATCTGGCGGATTGGCCATATTGCCATGGGTTGACAAAAGCCACGCCGAGTGATAGGTACCGTCTTGAATGCTTGAAAAAGATGCTTATAGCGTCTCCCTACCTTCTAACTCCTTGGAAAAGCCTTATACTTCGGTTAGCTATTATAAGCCATCCTGGATTTCTTGATTGAAAATAAAAGAGAAAATGTCAAATTATTCAACATAAAAAACATGATTTAAAAAACAGGATATTATGATAATTGATCACTGCTCACTGACCAAATTGCTAGTGGTATTTATCAACTCAAACTTCTAAAACATTTTAGAACACACAAAAAATGTACTTGTATTCGGCTTGTATTTTAAACCAATTTGATGTGTAAGGTAGTCACCAAATTGCTATATCACTAGCGATGTGAATAATCAAACTGTTAGGTAGTCAAAATTTAATTTATAATAATTTATAATAAGCGATATAGACATAATTGAGTAAGTACATTATTGGTCATGTAGAATAGTAATTTATAAATTCGTAGAATCATACCATTGACTGTTCATTATAATGCCGAAAGCCATGAGAAAAAATCTGATGTGTCCAACACATGACATTCCTATCTAGTTATTACAGGCTTTTTCTCGTTATTTTATACAACCTATTTAAGCACCTCTATAAATGTTTAGAGATTAACTAAATATATACATTTTCCACATACATCTAACTCGAAATATTTTTCTATATGTATTCATTGCCAACGAAAATACTGAAAAATTAAAATTTTATAATTTTCCTCTAATTTTTCCATTACGGTCCATTTTAGAGAAATTATGTAAAAAACAAAAATTATAGAGATCAATATTGCAAACATCTTTTAGTTTAACAATTTTCTTAAAAATGAATTTTTTAATTTTGTAAAATTTCTCGGATACGGACCATTTTAAATTTTTTTTGCAAAAAACATTAATTCTAGAGAATAACATAAGAAAACATAAACATAAATAACAGATATATTCGATAGAATATAAAAATAAGCTTCTATAAAGTACCCCTCCAGATGTTCTGACTCTGTCCAAAATCTAATCAGTTTACCTCAGGCAAGAATATAGCCCAAGTTTAAAATTTGCGGTTTTTTCTTTATCTATTTTTAAGTTTTCTTCAAAATTCGAAATTTACGCTATTTCTCAAATATCTCGAATATGGTCAATTTAAGAGAAATTTTGTATACGGCAATAATTATAGAGAATTATATCTTAAACAACTTTTATTTAAACAATCGAATTTCTCAAATACGGACCTTTTTAGAAAAATTTTGTATAGCACAAAAATTATAGAAAATAAGAAAATAAGAAGTAAATTTTATTTAAAGAATTTTCTTCTCCAAATGTAAATAACATATATAATTCATAAAATATTGGGGGTGGGTTGGCTCAGTGGTTAGAGTCATGACTCTGAGATCGCAAGGTCTCAGTATCGAATTCCACCGGTGGCAGGAATTTTTATTTAATTAAAAAAATTAAATATTAATTCTAATACATAGGTAGGATTCCCCACTCGACCATTCACTGTTGGGTTCTAATTAACAGTGCTGTTCCTAAAGTGGTACTGGGAAACAGTAACAAATCCTACACAGAACACGAGGCTAATGGCCGTAGTAGTCGACGCCGATGACTCCAAATTAAAAAAAATATCATAAATTATAAAAATGAGCCTTTTTAAAGTATCCTCCAGATGTTCCGACTCTGCCCAAAATCTAATCAGATTACCGCAGTCCAGAATAAAGCTTAAGTTTAAAATTTGGTGTTTTTCTTTGTATCCGTTCATGAGTTATCCTGGATACAGGCACGCACACACAACACACACACACACACACACACACACACAGACACACACACACACACACACACACACACAGTCGCACTCCCACTGGCACCTTCACTCGCACTCACACACTCACATACTCACACACTCACACACTCACACACTCACACACTCACACACTCACACACTCACACACTCACACACTCACACACTCACACACTCACACACTCACACACTCACACACTCACACACTCACACACTCACACACTCACACACTCACACACTCACACACTCACACACTCACACACTCACACACTCACACACTCACACACTCACACACTCACACACTCACACACTCACACACTCACACACTCACACACTCACACACTCACACACTCACACACTCACACACTCACACACTCACACACTCACACACTCACACACTCACACACTCACACACTCACACACTCACACACTCACACACTCACACACTCACACACTCACACACTCACACACTCACACACTCACACACTCACACACTCACACACTCACACACTCACACACTCACACACTCACACACTCACACACTCACACACTCACACACTCACACACTCACACACTCACACACTCACACACTCACACACTCACACACTCACACACTCACACACTCACACACTCACACACTCAAACACTCACACACTCACTCACACACTCACACACTCACTCACACACACACACACACACACACACACACACACACACACACACACACACACACACACACACACACACACACACACACACATACACACACACATACACACACACACACACACACACACACACACACACACACACACACACACACACACACACACACACACACACACACACACACACACACACACACACACACACACACACACACACACACACACACACACACACACACACACACACACACACACACACACACACACACACACACACACACACACACACACACACACACACACACACACACACACACACACACACACACACACACACACACACACACACACACACACACACACACACACACACACACACACACACACACACACACACACACACACACACACACACACGCACGCACGCACACATCCACACACACAGACATCATTTCGAAAATAGTCAAAATGGATTCAGGGGACCCCAAATCGTAAAAATCCGTCGAAAACTCGAGGTCGAAAAAAATCATGATTCCTATACTGTCCTTATCTGTATACAGATAGGAAAGTAAAAAGAAATATCTACAAGAAGATGACATTCCTCCTCCTAACACTGATCCATGAATATCACAATTAATTTCATTTAAAATTTTTAAGAAGTCATAATGGAATTGGAGTCGTCCTTTAACACACAAAACAAATTGAGGAATCAATTAATAAAATGCTTGAGGCTGAAAATATTTAGACGGCCCGATCTAATTAGATTCCTTTGCCAAAAGCAATGCGGGTTTAAACAGTAAGGTATTGGATAATTTATACAATCAGCGTATATCCGGTTCCTTTCCAATCCCTGAACAGGTTACAAACACTTTCACATAGCTCAATATAAAGACTGAAAGCTATTTAATGATTATTTTCAAAATAAGTATCGTTATTATTCGAGCAAAATTATCGTATTTCAGAGGATGTCCGCTTAATATTAAAAGTCAATAGTATGTTAGATGAAAACCCAGAAAAGATATTAGATACGTTAGAAGAAAATTAAAAAAAAGAAAATATCCGAGTAAGACGTAGCCATGTTATGCAAAAAAATGGGACTAAGATATATAATACTTGGAATTCTACATTATAGTCTTCACAGTTTAACAGAGCCCCACTTAATCCCCCAATTTTTGCAGATTTTTTTTCCAGAATCAATAGACGTTATTCTCTTAAAAAGCTGAAGATTTCAAGTTGACATTGTTTTTCGTTTTTGAGTTAGGATATTCTTTAAATATTTCAACCCTTCTTAACTCCCCCATCAGATTTTTTCAAGATCAATAGGCTGCGTTCCTTTATAGAGCTTATTTCTGAAAATTTCAAGTTGATATCATTTTTCAGCTAAAAATTTTTTTTTAATAAAATTTAAAAGAGGATATTTTTAAAAAGCACCCTGTATAGGTTATAAGCTCTGGAAATGGGCTACTTTTTTAATCAATTTTTTTTTTCGGAATTGTTCTATATCATTGCTAGTTACTATGTACAATAGTGCTATACT